AGATTGGCCTGTTCTGTAATTATTGTCCAGATTGTTCTTTTTTAACAGTGGTTTGATGACTGCTGTTTTCAAAGCCTGGGGGAAAACACCTGATGTAAGCGATGAGTTTACGATTTGGATCAGATCAGCAGCAATAACAGGCAGGACTTTCTTAAAGAAATGTGTGGGAAGGACATCCAGACAGCAGGAGCTTGAACTTAATTGACTTATAATTTCTTCTAGCGTTTTATAATTAAGTAGTTGAAAATGGGTCATTTTTTCTGTATTTGTTTTGTTTTGGTACAGCAATGGTTCTGGCTTTGAAGTTGATGTGCAGATTAATCCTCTGATTTTTTGGATTTTCTCTGAAAAGAAATCAGAAAACGTATTACAGGCAACATTAGATTGGAATTCAGGTGGAAACGTCACAGGAGGGTTTGTGAGCCTGTCAACTGTTGCAAATAAAGTTCGAGCATTATTGATGTTTTTGTTTATGACATCTGCAAAGAAAGCCTCCCTTCCATGTTTTAGTGTTAAGTGATAGTTATGTAGTTTTTCTTTGTAGATGTCGTGATGAACGTGAAGTTGAGTTTTACGCCATTGTCGTTCTGCCCTGCGGCAGACTTGTCTTGCAGACCGAACTATTTGTGCATTTCTCCATGGAGATTTCTTTCTACCAGTCAAAACCTTTACTTTAATTGGAGCAATGGAATCAATGATATATGAAACTTTAGACTGAAAATCATCTAACAACTGATCTACATCATTACAGCTTAAGGGTGAGGAGGAAGAGTAGATTTGATTAAATGTTTCTGCTGTGTTTTCTGTGAAAGAACGTTTTGTGATAGTAGCTGTTTGTCCAAGTGGGTCAAAGAATAAAGAAACTTCAAAGATAACAGCGAATTGATCCGACAGGGCGACATCAATTACAGAGACATTGGAAATATTCACACCCTTACTGATAACCAAGTCCAGTGTGTGTCCTTGAGTGTGTGTTGCTTGTTTAACATGTTGTGTTAAACCAAAATTTTCTAAAATATCAGAGAGCTTTTTTGCTCCTCTGTTTTCGGGTTTGTCCACATGAATGTTAAAATCACCAACAATTATTAAACAATCATAATCAATGCATAGAGAAAGAAGATCATTAAAGTCAGTAAAGAAATTTTCCACATGTTGGAGTTTTGTATAAAGTTAGTGTCAAAGTTCGTTTGAAGCGTTTAACCTGAATTCCAAGATACTCAAAAGATGTGAAATGACCGAAAGAGATTTTACTACAGTTTATGGTATTTTTAAATATAGAAGCCACGCCTCCTCCTTTTTTATGTTTTCTATTCTCACTTAAAAAATTGTAGTCAGGAGGCGCTGATTCAATGAGTACAATTTGGTCATTATAGTCATTCAACCATGTTTCTGTCAGAAACATAACATCAACATTATACTCAGTGATGAAATCATTAATTAACAGAGCTTTAGCACAGAGTGATCTGATATTTAAAAGAACTACTTTAAGTGGCTTGGAGGCCAAAAGATTTTCAGTCTGAGGTTCCTTTAGGCAGGGGATCACTCTGAGGTTTGAATTAGGACCGCTGTATTTCATATTTCTGGTTTTTGTAAATTTTCTTGTAGTGATCCGGACAGGTAATGTCCTGTTCTGCAGTACCCGGGGGCCAGACACATTCTGGATGGAGACAGGTGTAAAGATAATATCTGGTCCCCGGCCTCAGACCTCAGAAACGCAGAGTGATGGATCCTCTGGGAAGTCAGGGCAGGTTGCTTAAATGTAGTGAGGTCTGCTACGTGAGTGCTAAGGAGAGACGTGCCGAGGCGAACCTGTTGATTCATTCCATCTGTAAATTTAAGAAACTCTGGTCCGGAAGACATTTCTTCATTGGTATCCATTGAATCCTGTGAATGCTTGGAGGAGCAGAGAGGGAGGGGGGAAGGAGCGAGGGAAGCAGTCGCTCCATCTCCAGTCGATTTATCAGCTTGTTTTGGAATATTGTGCTCCTGATCCGGGGAGCGTTCCATCCTGGTCAGACATCCTTGAGCCTGTTCTTCTGACGTGATGATCCTGTTGCTGTCCTTGTTGATAAAATAAAAAAGGTTTGCAGCGAGTAGCTTTATCCCATGTTTATTAAGATTGCGTCCTCCTCTTCCAAAAAGGAAGAGGAGGAAATCTAATTCTCTTGAGTAGATACTGAGTTAGCAGTACATATCTCATAATGAGTCTATGAATCTGAAGCATTTTCACTTTTGAAAGTAGCAAAACATTTCATGAAATAGAAATGATCATGAATCATTACTCTGACTCTTAAACATATGATGTGCAGGTAAAATAAATTTGTACACAAAATTGAAGAGGGAATCTTTCAGTATTTCTTAGAAAGAAAAACTGTTACACCCTGTACCAACTATTCTTTCAATAAATGCAGTCTGTACCCTCCTGCCACATTGTTGGAGTTACTCTGACGATAACTGTTGGATCTGCCCAGGTGGACGTAGGGTGGCATTGAACACGTAATTCACAACACTCCCAGATTTAGCTGACCTGAGGGTATAAAAGGGCATTGGACAGAGGTTGTCAGGACAGAAAGTTTAAGGAGACTGCAGATATGCTCAGGTTTCTTCTGTTGACCTCTCTTGCAGCCCTGGGTAAGTACCACCTAGTCTATTTTGAAGATTCTCCAGAGAAACCCCATATAGACTTAAATGTAATAGTTCTTTTGGATATCTGCTTTTCTCAGTTCTGGCTGAACCCCAGCCCAGGTACCTGGAGGACAGTGTTGGTGAACCAAGAGTTGTGGGAGGAAGGGTGGCCAGACCTAACTCATGGCCATGGCAGGTATACTTCAAATCCTTTCAGACCTTATATCCATGTGTTGCAAACTTAACAAAACAATCACCACCATAAAGACAAGACAAAAAGGCCTAAAAGTAGCTTTAAAGTTATTTAAAAATACAAGAAAACATGCAAATTTCATGGAACTTGCTTGCTGACATTAAATAAGTGAAATCTTCAGCATCAGATTTTAAACTGATCACATCTGCTTTATAACTCAAGTACACCAACTGATAAATGTAATGAAAGTATATGTCCCTTAAATATTTCTCTAAAACAAGTCCAGGAATTATTACTATTTTTTCTCAATCAAACCTGGACATTTTCCTTTGAATCTCTTCATTCCCGTCAAGAGTTAGAGCTCATTTTTAGAAAGTGTTTTTAAGACATTGGAGAAAAGGTTTGGGGTTTGCTTACTTGTGTTTGCAAAACTGTCTCTTGGTGTTTTTCAGATCTCCCTTCAGTACAAATCTGGAAGCTCCTTCTACCACACCTGTGGAGGAACTCTTGTTCGGAGAGGATGGGTCATGACTGCTGCTCACTGTGTGGACAGGTGGGAATCTTATGCATCATGGAAAAGCTGAAGAGATCAAAAACAAGAGAACAAGCAATTTTCATAGACCTGAATATACTACTGTCCTACTTGTTAGAGATTCAGCTTCAAATAACTATAGATCATTTTGTTATTTTATTTTTTTTTAATCATCTTGTATAAGTAATAACTAAAAGAAACTTCTTGTCTCTTCTGCATGGGCAAAAGATCAATGACTTGGCGTGTCGTTCTTGGAGATCATGACATCAACAACAACGAGGGAAAAGAGCAGTACTTGAGCGTGAGCCAGGTCTACATCCACCCTAACTGGAACTCCAACAATGTTGGAGGGTTAGTAAGAATGTAGTTTTGCCAGTTCTTAATGTGTATAGGGCAAAAAAGACAGACCTATACGTCAAATGCCACATGTTAAGTAATCTTGCACTTACGTTTTAAAAACAAGAAGAATGTGTGTAATCTGATGCTTACTTGTTATGTATAATACTTTCCATGTAAAAAATATATATTTTATGTTGTTTTCTTCTTTAATTGTTACTATAACTTCCAGGGAAGAGCATCAGTTAAGTAATTGCCAGCATAACCGTTGAGAAAAAAAGAAGTTTTTGTTGCTTAACTTCTGTTAAAAGATATGTGATACCTATTTCTTGAACAATACGGTTTTAATTGATTTTTGAATAAAATAACATTTTGGTTAGGTGGTTTTATTATTTTAAAAGAACAAAGAAATATGTTTCTTTATAGAGTTAAATTGTATTCACAACTCACCTTCCAAGAATCTTAAAAAAATTGGTATTTGCTTCCTGCGTCTTGTAGTTACGACATTGCTCTGCTGCGTCTGTCCACTGACGCTGTCCTCAACAACTACGTCCAGCTGGGCATTCTTCCTCCCTCCGGTCAGGTTCTGGCCCACAACCACCCTGCTACATCACTGGATGGGGACGCATTCGGAGTGAGTCAAACACAATTTCACACCAAGATGATTAACATGGTGGACGTTCAGATAGGTAATGATATGTTTGGCTGTTTTTCCCAGCTGGGTAACCTGTCTGCTCAGCTGAAGCAAGCCTACCTGCCTGTTGTTGATCACAACACCTGCACCAGCTCTGGCTGGTGGGGCAGCACTGTGAAGAGCTCCATGGTCTGTGCTGGAGGTGCCAGCAACTCTGGTTGTCTGAGCCACCTGTTGAACTCCCTCTTTTCAAAAAAAGTGGACAATCATAAGGTCCATAATGATGTGTGGAGTTACATAAAAGTACTGACACCAACAGATGGTGATACAGAAATAATTAACTGACTTTTTTGTCAGCTTACTCCCACAAACTTTAGTGTATGACATTTTGATGCTATGTCACAGGTCAACACAAAACAGTGCATGATTGTGAGATAGAAAATAACAAATAGATGGTTTTTGCACATTCTCTCCATTTTTTAATGACTTGAACTGAGCTCTGTGGGCATGCTGTTTTTTTTTAACAATCATTCCATGTTTTAAACTTATTACTCATTCCTTTAATTTTGCTGTTATAATAAAACAAAACATGAAAGTTCAAGAGGCATGAATACTTTTCCAAGGGTGCAGGAATAATAAAAGAAATCAAAATAAAGTCAGTGACATCCAGTTTTCATGACTAATTTTTAAAATATAATTTTACTTATGCAGGGTGACTCTGGTGGACCCCTGAATTGCAGGGTCAACGGCCAGTGGGTGGTCCACGGAGTGACCAGCTTTGTGTCTTCCCTTGGCTGTAACACCTACCGGAAACCCACCGTCTTTACCCGTGCTTCTGCTTACATCAGCTGGATGAACAGCGTTAGTATTTGATAACTCAAGAATTACATAGATTGTAATGATTGATGTTTGAACATTGCAACTGATAATTTTATTTGCTTTTGCAGATCATGGGTTAAGAAGAAAAGCAATATCTGTGGAAAAAAGAACATTCTGGATTCTTTTCTCACTCCATCAAAATAAAAGTCATAAAAATGGCATCTAAATTGCTTTGTCATGTTTGGTCAAAGTTTTATGATAAAAAATAAATTAATAATCTGATTCCTGATTGAAAGAAAAAGAAAATCAGAGACATAGCTAATTAATTAAAGATTTAAACATTTCAGGGGAATCATTTTATTTTGAGGTCAATCTGTGAAAGGATTTAGCAGTGAACTAAAATCTCAGTAAAACCTTAATGTTAAGTTAATTTCAGACCTCTAATAGTACAAATGACAAGCACAAAAAGCTAAACAAAAAAAAAAAACAAAACAAGAGAGACATGATAAATTAGCAAATAATATGCTGATAAAATGCATTTCATCTGCAAAAATTTGTTACGGAATTGGATACAGTTACAGAATATTCAGCAAATACTGACTCTAAGGTTAACTTGTTTCCTAGAGATGACACACTTCCAGACCCCAATTATTTCTGTTTGTCAGCCTTACTTTTTTTCCCCCCAGTTATTCTGGCTTCTCTAAAATCCTCTCACATTTTACTGATTAGTCATTAAATTCACTACTTATTTTAATCTTCAAAATTCCTGTAATCTTAGCAGTGCTTAGCTTTATTCAGAAGCATGCTGCTCAGACCAAAAATGATAGAAAGTAAATGCATTAATCAGTCCAGATTTTTGGATGCTGTTGTGTAGTCTGCTCAGCAGGCTGGCTATGCACTTTCTTTTAACTTTCAGGACCTGTTGTTCACAAGAGGTTTCTTTTCATGCAAATAAAGTCCTGATCATTTTTTTTTTTAAGTTTAGTCTCATGCTACCAGCGCCACCCGGTAATGAAAAGTGAGCCACTAGTGGTGTATAGACAAACTGCTAAGGAACTGTTATGAATTAAAACACTTCAAAAACATCTCTTTATTAATGAGATTTACAACAGAGTATTACTAAGCACATTTTCCATTGTTTTATTATGTATTCAAACTTTCAAGATTAAACAAAATACAAATTTTGCAATTCTGTATTGTAAACACACAGAATTTTTGCAAATACCTGTGGTTTTGTTTTAAGTTTGCATGTGTGCATGTAGTTACAAAGGCCAGAAGTATTTGTGAATAAGCCCCTGTGAACATCAAAGGCTAATGAAAATCCTATACAAAGAATGGCTGTTCTGGATTGTGTTGATAAATGACTAATTATTCTTTGATACTTATATTCATGATCTAACAGGCCATGTACAAAAAATATAATTGCAAAATACAGAGATTAAAGCCTGTAAAAGCACTTTATTAACACATGTTTACAAATCATACAGAAAGTTTTAGCTTTAAATAGATATCTAAGCAAAAACATTGTGGCTGATGCTGAATTGCAGCAGTTTTAATTTGACATTGTCCTTAAATATTTTACTTGACACATTTTGACAAAGTATAAATATAATAGCTTACACCCTTGAAATATTTGTTACAGTATGCATAGTTCAATTACATTCATTTCGTCAGGATGTTTTGATTTGGTGCTTAGTTCATGTTTAACAATGAGCTTCCACAAGTTCACATAGGTTTTATAAATGTGCTGTCACGCTACTGTAACACAGTTGAGAAGGGTACAATATGTTTTAGGTAGATGGGCCAATAGGTTCGGCTGTCGGAGCACGATGGGTGTTTAAATGACACACATACACGGTTGAGTGAATTTAAAAAACAATTAGCTTTAGTAACATGAATCATAAACTCACAAGTGGACAAGACATACAATTAAGAAAATAAAATTACACACAATAAAATACATGAAATAAAAACAACAATACTTGGCCAAGTGCTAAATATCAAATTTAAATCTATTGGGTACACCCTGGTAGTTTGCGTTCTAATCTCTTTTAGATGACAAATGAATCAAATTAAATCCTGGCTCAGGTCTCACTCAACATGGGAGGAAATCCAGATCTTTCTAAGTCCAGGTGGGAAGGCTCGCCATCAAAGTCAGTAGGGGAATCCACTTCAGGAACAATCCAGGAGAAGAGAAGAAAAAGCAAAAAAACAAAAAAAAACACAACAAAAAAAAAAAAATCCTGATCGATCTCAGTGCGGCACGTTCAAAACAACTAGACAGGGACTCTCATTCCAGACACGGAGGGCACTTCAGTTGAACTGAAAACAACTGCCAATCAACTGCCAGAAAGTGCAACAGTTCCAACTGATCTTAGTGGTTTCTGGCTCAGCTGTCTGATCAGGGTTGGATCTCCCGCTCACAATCAACGCTGCCAACACGGGAAAGAAGGTGAAGCCTCTGTGGCATTCCGCTCTCTGATTGGTCTAAACATTCATGGGAATCAAACTTCCCATTGGCCAGGCAGACTACCCCGCCTACCCAATCTCTATTTCCCAAAAGGCTATCCCCACTTTATGTGGGTTACACCCTCCCCTCTGAAGGGTATGCCCGTCCCTGGGCATCTGCAATACGACACTGAGTCGCACAGCTTAAGCATGCCTGATGGAATTATGGGATGCATTCTCCAAGCCATTCAGGGAGCTAGCCAATGCTTCACTTAGACCCTGGAAAAGAGAATTCACCACCATCATCAGAGGATTTCCCAGTTTTGGATACTCTAATCTGTTTGGCTTTGTGTGTACTCTTTCAGAGCGACGAAGAAATGTTTCAGAGTTTTGAAGTCCCTCAGTCTGAAACTTTAAGGGTTCAGGTTGGGCAGTAACAGGTTCATTTACTCCATAAAACTCATCATCATATGCTGCATCTGAGCTCATCCCTTATATGGAGGAGTTTCCTCAGATTGCTGCAAATCCAAACACTGAGGGGATCCTTTAACTGAATTTAGTTCAGGTAAAACGTTTGCTTCGGATAATCTGTTATGTTCCGGTAGGTTGTCATTTTCAGGTAGGTGAACACTTGATGCATCTTGAATATCTCCAGTACTTCTATCTCCTACAATATGAGTAGCTGGAACATCAGGTGAGAGGGAAACTACAGATCTCCCTGTTTCTGCTGATGGTCGAACTGCACTGTGATGCTCACTTGACTTGTGAGTTTCAGGCACTATGACATATACATCGGGTTTTGACACAAAACGAGGGAACGATGTCCAATCAGGTACATCATCCAGATCTGAGATGATTTCCTCTTCACTCTCGACGACTGGACATTGTCTCGTTCTGGGTCTCCTGTTTGGACAAGGTTTGACTGTTTCAGGCTCTGCAGCTGCTGACAGGAATCCACATGGCAGAAGCAGGTCTCTGTGCAGAGTCCGCACTGGTCCATCTTTACTTTCCGGTTTAACTGTATAAACTGGCATTTCTCCAGCTCTCTTGAGGACAACATAAACATCTCCTCCCACTTGTCTGCCAATTTATGTTTTCCACGCAGCTTCACATTTTGCACAAGAACTCTGTCTCCTGTCTGCAAAGTTGATTCAATCACTCGCCGGTCAAATCTGGCTTTATTGTGACTTGCATTCTTTTCTGCATTGCTAGTAGCAATACGGTAACTTTCTTCCAATCGAGATTTTAAATTGCCAACATACTGGGAATGAGTCTGCTTCGTAGCATTGGTGGGCAATCTGAAAATCAAGTCAATGGGTAATCTGGGCTGTCTCCCGAACATTAACTTGTATGGGGAAAATCCAGTCACATCACTCTTTGTACAATTATAAGCATGTACCAGAGGTTTGACAAAGTCTTTCCAGCGGAGTTTATCTGACTTATCAAGTGTTCCAAGCATTTGAAGAAGTGTGCGGTTGAATCTTTCAACCGGATTTCCCCTGGGATGGTAAGGGGTTGTACGCACTTTCTTCATGCCAATAAGTTCACAGAGTTCTTTTATGGTTTTAGATTCAAAATCAGCACCCTGATCACTAAGGAGCTTTTCAGGAAAACCATAATGAATAATGAAGTTTTCCCTGAGGCACTTTGCTACGGTCTGCGCTCGCTGGTTTGGGGTTGGTATGGCCACTGCATATTTTGTAAAATGATCAGTTATTACCAAAATGTCTTTGGTGTTTGAGCGATCTGGCTCTATTGACAAAAAGTAAATGCACACCAGTTCGAGAGGTCGATAGGTTTTAATGTTCATCAGTGGAGCAGCTCTTTCTGGATGTGTTTTTCTACGAACACATCTCTCACATGTTTTAACCATTTTCTCTATGGTCATATACATTTTTGGCCAGTAAAATCTAGTTCTTGCCAAATCTACTGTTCGTTCAACTCCAAGGTGGCCCATATCATGATGAAACAGGAGTGCTGTAGCTCTTAGCTCCTCAGGAAGTACAAGCTGATATGAGATGTTTGGACCATCTTGTCGCTTTCGATAGAGCACTCCATTCTGCATCTCCAACCGAGACAACTGTCTGAGTAACAAAGGTAATTCTGGTAGCTCTAACCTGAGGCCGGGACATGGAGTTTCACCAGTTTCCAAGAGTACAATGACTGCATTGATAGCAGGATCTAATGTTTGTTTTTCCCTCAACTCTTCTTCTGAAAATGAATAAACAAGAGGGGACCCATCCACTTGGACTGGAATGAGTGAGAGATTCAACTAATGTCAACCGAGGAGTGGCGGCTTGAACACCAGCTACAGATGAAGTGACCATATGGCGTTCACAAATAGCCTTAATCACCTCCTGGGGAACAGTCTCTGGACTGTCAGGATTGCTCAGATGGTACAATGTGAACTGCCGGATTCTCTCACTTTCCTTCTTTGATGCATAATCATCCTTTGGTGGATCATGAGGTCGGCGAGACAGTGCATCAGCATCAAGATTTTGCTTTCCCGCCCTGTACTGAAGACTGAATGAGTAAGTAGAAAGACTGGACAACCACCTGTACCCTGTCGCATCCAGCTTTGCAGATGTTAAAATATATGTAAGTGGGTTGCTGTCCGTCACTACTGTGAAGTCTGTACCATATAGGTAATCAGATAATTTTTCTGTGACTGCCCATTTAAGAGCCAAAAATTCAAGCTTATGAGCCGGGTACTTCCTCTCGCTCTTTAAAAGTCCTCGACTCGCAAAAGCTATGACTCGAGATTGACCATC